AACTCGGCAATCTCAGATCTCGTTATCAGGTCGGAGTCACCTGTCAGGTTCACGGCCAAGCGCGACACCCCCTCTCTCATCTGCCTCTTTAAACTGTCAAAGTTTGCCCTTCTGAAATCTGGTACTTTATTGGAATTTTCCTTACGTCTGCCCTGAAAATCTAACTGAAATCTAATTTCTTTGTGATCGCTGTTTGCAAGTTCGTTCTCTACCTCGACATTGCTAATGAGGTTTTCTCTGTTCGACAGAACTAAATCGAGTATATTATTACCCCGTGTGGGTTCGGTTATATGTTGACTTTGGAAACAGTCCTGGATCGTCTCGAGAAAATCCACTGATTCTGAGTTACCCGTAAGGTCAGTCCAATCTATTTGGCCAAGGTTAAAGTCGCCTACTATACAGACTTTGTTGTGTATGGAAGCCCTGCGCATTTCATCCCAGATAAGTCGCTCATTGACTCTATCAAGATTGGGAGGTCTATATATTACTCCTGTGATTAATTTTTCCCTACCGTAGCTTAATTCTATCCAAATTGTTTCTGTATTCCGCTCAGTTTTTATTTCCTTATTTATTTCACACTTCAGATTATCCCTAATATAGATTGCTACTCCGCCTCCTTTCCTGGTCTGCCTATCGGTATGGAACAATTTGTAACCAGCAATTTGGTATTCGACCGGCAACTCACGTGAGTCTAGGTTGATCCATGTTTCAGTGAATGCTATTATATCGATTTTTTCGGTAAATACCAAGGCCCTAATATCATCCATTTTGTTTCTCATACTTCTACTGTTCGCGTAGTAGACATTTAAGTTAGTCGTGTTCTGAGTCCTCCCCTTACCGCGTTTAGTTTTAGACGCCCTGTTTAATTTAGTTTTGTCATCATTCCTAACACTATTTCCCTGTACTCTTTTACTTTGTTTACCCGCTCCCACTGCAGTTTCCCCCACCCCCGTGCCCATATGTTCCCCTAGCAGTTTAAAGACTTCGATATCCTTTGAACTGCCCCCTCTAGAGACCCAGCCAGGGTTGCCACCCCATCCCGAGACAGGTGCACCCCATCCCTAGCATAAAGGTCCCTTCTGCCGTAGAAGTTGTCCCAGTTGTCAATGAATGGGACCGATATTGACTTGCAATATCTGTCAAGACGGTCGTTGACACCAACCACCCTTGACAACCATTCACTGCCAACTCTCCTTCTAGGCAGGACACCGCATATGATAGGGATCCCTCCCTTAGACCTAATACGATCTATAGCTGCCTTGAACTTATCAAGAAGCTCCTCACTCCTACACCGGCCAATATCATTGCCTCCTGCACTGAGGCATCTAAGAAATTTATCACCACTTAGGGAGGCAATGATTAACCCTTTACTCTTCTCTAGGTAATACATCCATGGGTGACCAACACCAATCTGTCTACAAAGGGACTTTACTTTAATAAAAGGTTTTGGCTTTTATCTGATCAGGAATTTATTTTTAAGAGTAGAGTAGGGAGATGACAGTACAGTATGTGTTGTATAGGAGGAAATCTAAATGTATGCACTGGGGTATACATACTGAAACAATACTATTCTTATTTTAATCATGGCAAGAGAAAACGTTCAGTCTCACAGAATTAAAAACTAATGCACGGTCTACGACAGGGTTACAAGATGAAGTAGTAATGACCAGTACTCTTAATCACCAAATTATATACATGGCACGAGATTGTGACATACATATAGATAAACAAGAGATGAGGTGCAAAACGACCTTGAAAAATTACGAGAAGAGTGACGCTTAATGGCTATGCATGTTATGTAAAATTTTTTAATGCACATTAAAAATAAAAACATATGCTACGAAGTCTTTGATGAACTTCTAAATACTAATAAATGGACTATGTGATACTGTATGCAAAACTAAACTACGCATAACAGGAATAATGTTTCTTATACCGTACTATCAATCACTATATGTCAGGCAACAACAGTGTACAGGTTTGCTAACAGGACAAAATGCATTAAAATGAAATATTAAGAAAAACTAAAAATCACATACTGTAATTATGTTCGGCTCAGAAATCGAAAGGTGACCACAACGCGCTGTGGTTGTTTTTAAAATAACCAGAGAGCAAAATTTTGCGTTTAGATTTTATCCGAACATAACCCAATCCAAACTAACCTAACCCAATCCAAACTAAACTAACTCAATCCAACCTAACCTAACCCAATCCAAGCTAAACTAAACTAACCTAACCTATAGCAAAATCTCGCTGTTGGTTATTTACCAAACAACCACAACGCGTTGTGGTCACTTTTTGTTTTCTGAGCCCAACATATACACAAATACTGTACTATACATATGGTACCTAGATGCACAGACAAGTACTGCACTTACAAACACACGCACACAAGCATGCAAGTCTGTCTGGATGTCTATAAACATCTTAGAGTTGAATCTAATTGTTTATTAAAATTTTTAGTTAAAGCTGAGACATACAGGAAGAAATTAGAAAGATCTTTGAAGGTACAGAGTACAGTATCTAGTATAAATGACACTTCTCACTAATGGTAAAAGTTTAGTAGCAACATTAATATTTATTTAGTGTTTATCCATATTTTACAGTTACTCAAGACCACATTTATATTGGCAGCATAATGTACGAGAATAGGATTCTCTTAAAGAAGTAAAGACAATACCTTCTGAAGTGTGAATCATACAAACCAATCTACAGTACAGTACTTGTGAATCAATTGAAATACAGTACTGTACTGTAATAGTACTTAGTGCAAAAAAGCAAGTTGTATATCTGTAACATTTGGATGACAGTAATTATTACTGTACTCATTGACTCTGTATTATGTGAGGAATGTTCTTAAAGCAATATTTACAATGGTGTCTGTATCTTAATTTTTGCTCTTGTCTGACTGCTCCTTTCCCCATTAACTTCACTGCTTCACTCATTCTGAAGAATTATCTTCATTTTGTTGTGTGTCACTTTCTCTAATACTAGTTTTTTTATCTCAGCCTAAGCCCTCATTTTTTGTACCAATTATAATACTGTACTGTACATCTGAACTTTTTATATGTTTGAACTAATTACCATACTGTGTACAGTACAGTACAGTTTAGGCCCCCACCCCCAAATTCGCGGTCCTCTATTATTCGCGATGTCACTCTGGATGTACCCAAGAATGTCTGTGGGTAGTTTTAAAGTTGGCGTAATTTTTGCGGCTGGGACAGGGAGCCATTCGTTCTAGAGACAGTAATTTCATTTACCTGTATTGTAAATATGTGTGTTTGTGTGTGTAGACACACACACAAAACATATGCAAATAAATAAAATTGGGAAAGTTCTCTCACAAATAAATCAGAAACAAATTTATTAAAAATGTGACAGTCTACCCTCAAGTTCGTACTTTATTACTTTACTACTAAAGCACGGACTTGAGGCTAGACTGTCATATTTTTTATACATTTGTTTCTGATTATTTGTGAGAGGATTTTCCCATTTTTATTTATTTGTATGTTTTGTACGTGTGTGTCTACACACACACATATATACAATACAGGTAAAAGAAATAATTGTCCTAAGGGCAAACACATAAGGGAATATACATTTCTTTGTACACAAATAAAAATGTACACCCCCCCCCCACGTCAGCAAATGTTATTCACGGATTTGGCGATTCGCGGCAATTTTGAGAACCTAATCCCTGCGAATTTGAGGGGTCCCTGGTACTTATTATTTCTTTGTCAATTTGTCATTTTATTGTCCTCCTTTCTCTGTCTTCCTGTTCTCATCTTTCTTTTTGGTTTCTATTGAGCAATAGTGGCTACAAAATCCGCCCTGTACTGCACTCGCTTTTCTTGACTGTCTTATCAATAACAATTTTCCAAGGAAGTGTTTTCCTTACATTCTCTCTACCAGTGAACCCTGGCCCATGTCTGTCATATGATTATTTCTCCCTGCCTGCTGGGTCAGCCGAGCAATCATTCATACAGTACTGGTGGCCTCCCAAGCAGGCATGATGTTTTTCCATCCCTCACTCTAGCACTATGCAGCCCAGGACCAATTTGATGGTTAATCTAATTTTTCTAAAAATATTCATTATCCACCATGCGGCCACAGACTCACCCATGCATACAGACAGGACAACTTCAATCATATCACAACTTATCTCACAAATGAGAGACAAGCCACTGATAAACTGCCACACAGATGGACACAGTGGTAAAAATAACAAACAAATATATAATGAGTGGCACAGAGAAGTTGTCAACAAATGTTAATTCGGTGAGAAGTTTAAGAAAAGTCAAGGACAAATGTTACACTAACAACTATTTGGTAATCACAGATTAGATAAATCATAATTTGACAAGATAAATTACTATTCTGCACATGATGTTAAGAAATAATTCCTCTCAAAGTACCACACATATTCCCACTGTGAACAATCAGACTTAAGCTGCTTGAATAAAGAAATATAACAATAATGAAATTGTAAATAAATAAATAAATAAATAAATACTCTAAAAATCCATAAAATGGATGGTAAGCTTAACAAAAATATTAAATTGGAAAACAAATATGTAAAAGTTAAAAAAAAAAAAGGCACTATAGGCTGCATATCTTAGAAAAGAGTTTGGGTGTAATTGTTTAATGCCAATGTTATCATAGTGTCTCATCTTACAATGAGGTAAAATGTTATGATAAAACAACAGACATGAGTTTTCCTTCATCAAAATGAGATGGAGAGACAAGCTGACAGATATGAAAAATAAAGTCAAGTGTGAAAAGAGGGATAAGGCAGTACAAGAAAATCATTGTCTCACATATCAACAAAGTTACAATATATGAGAAAACATAATGAACAGGTTCTCCATGAAAAGGAAACACTGAAAAAAAAGTTCATTACTATGGCAGAAGGGCTATGATGAAAAGACAAAACAGACTGATCTATAATCAAATGAAATGGTACCATGAAAATCAACGTGCACAAAACGAATCCTACGTACCATTCTGCATGGCGGTAGAGCGATCTTCCACTCTAGAGATGTAGCAGCAGAGTTCATCTTGCCGCTCTGAGTTCTCTATGAGTTCAGCCTCCACACTGAAACCCCACATATGGTCTAATGAAGAACGAGACAACTCCACCTGGTACAAAATCTTGCCACAGATCTCCACTACTTCATGGGTTGCCAACTGGAAATAAAAAAGTTAAAATGTGAAAAATAAGAAAAGACTTTGAATAGCAACATAACTAATGCTGTACAAATTCAGTTAATATATTGAAGGGGTATACCGCAGTGTAAGAGAGAAGAATTAATTGTTGCAATATTTTTGAAGTCCTCTCTCTATAGATCAAAGGCAAAAACTGTATTCTTTCTTGTATCCTACTCAACACATGATGGAGGTACTCAACACATGATGGAGGTACTCAACACATGATGGAGGTACTCAACACATGATGGAGGTACTCAACACATGATGGAGGTACTCAACACATGATGGAGGTACTCAACACATGATGGAGGTACTCTACATGATGGAGGTGATCAACACATGATGGAGGTACTCAACACATGATGGAGGTACTCAACACATGATGGTGCTACAACACATGATGTACTAACATGATGGAGGTAACACATGATGGAGGTCAACACATGATGTCAACACATGATGGAGGTACTCAACACATGAGGCACTAACACATGATGGAGGTACTAACACATGATGGAGGTACTCAACACATGATGGAGGTACTCAACACATGATGGAGGTACTCAACACATGATGGAGGTACTCAACGCATGATGGAGGTACTCAACACATGATGGAGGTACTCAACACATGATGGAGGTACTCAACACATGATGGAGGTATCCAAAACATGATGGAGGTATTCAACACATGATGGAGGTACTCAACACATGATGGAGGTACTCAACACATGATGGATGTACTCAACACATGATGTACTCAACACATGATGGAGGTACTCAACACATGATGGAGGTACTCAACACATGATGGAGGTACTCAACACATGATGGATGTACTCAACACATGATGGAGGTACTCAACACATGATGTACTCAACACATGATGGAAGTACTCAACACATGATGGAGGTACTCAACACATGATGGAGGTACTCAACACATGATGGAGGTACTCAACACATGATGGAGGTACCAAAACATGATGGAGGTACAAACATGATGGAAGTATCAACACATGATTCAACACATGATGGAGGTACTCAACACATGATGGAGGCACTCAACACATGATGAAGGTACTCATGATGGAGGTAACACAAGATGGAACTAACGCATGATGGAGGTACTCAACACATGATGGAGGTACTCAACACATGATGGAAGTACTCAACACATGATGGAGGTACTCAACACATGATGGAACAACGCATGATGGAGGTACTAACACATGATGGAGGTACTAACGCATGATGGAGGTACTCAACACATGATGGAGGTATCACATGATGGAGGTACTCAACACATGATGGAGGTACTCAACACATGATGGAGGTACTCAACATGATGGAGCTCAACACATGATGGAGGTACTAACACATGATGGAGGTACTCAACACATGATGGAGGTATCAAAACATGATGGATGTACTCAACACATGATGGAGGTACAACACATGATGGATGGATGTACATGATGGAGTATTCAACACATGATGGAGGTACTCAACACATGATGGAGGTATTAACACATGATGGAGGTACTCAACACTCAACACATGATAGATGTACTCAACACATGATGGAAGTACTCAACGCATGATGGAGGTACTCAACACATGATGGAGGTACTCAACACATGATGGAGGTACTCAACACATGATAGATGTACTCAACACATGATGGAAGTACTCAACGCATGATGGAGGTACTCAACACATGATGGAGGTACTCAACACATGATGGAGGTACTCAACACATGATGGATGTACTCAACACATGATGGAGGTACTCAACACATGATGGAGGTACTCAACACATGATGGATGTACTCAACACATGATGGAGGTACTCAACACATGTTATAAGACATAATTGTTTCAAGTAAAGACTGAAGCCAACTGTACAGTACATATATTAAACAACAATCAGCTAATACAATACAGTACAGTGAGGTGGTTATTGTTAATCATGATATTTAAGTATATGAGTGATCACTACTGTAGCTCAAACGGTACCAACCGTGTTACTCAATTGAGTGACTTCGTAACAACATCAATGACAAAAATCATAATCAACATGTTGCATGAGAAACAGGAGTATTTAGAAGATGGTACACGAATGACAATGAACCATTATTAACTCCCCAAAAATGTTATCCAATGTTCTCGTGTAACTTATTATGTCAGCGAGCAATTAGACAAGAGCAAAAACATTAATTGAAAACAAGACACTTTCCAAATACGTACACATACAGGGTATAAAATTTTCATAAAAGAAAAGGGATAAAATTTGTTGTGACTTCTAACAGGGACTTACATAGTTCTCTATGAGGTCAGTTCGATGTGGAACAAAGTAGTTGGTCTCCTCCAGTTCTCGCCGTTTTTTTACTCGAACAAAATGCTCCATTGGGTTGAGGTTCTTCCGTCCACAAGCTGCCACCAAGAACTCCTCCACACTCATGGAGTCCTTTAAGCTGATGCTCACCGTCTGTTGTTGAGGTTAAATATTTAGAGAATCATAATTGACCATTATATCATAACTGAGAGAATTATCTGAAATAATATATATTTATAAAACAAGTGAATATTAAATAAGCATTTACAGTACTGTACAGTGCAAGGAAAACATGACCTATGCTCACCTGATTATCTGGGAGGTTAACCTTGTACTGCTTTTCACCTTCGAGCTGCTGCTGCATCTGTAGCGACCGCCGAGATGAGACACTATTGCTGCGTGAAAGCATTGGAGCCCTGAAATAAGTACATTTAGCGGAAAGAGTGATTCTCTGTATCAGAAATGCCTTCTCCTACAGTATGAGCAGCGTGGTAGAGCAGAACCTTCCTCAAACAGCTTGGTTGTTGAAGAATTTTGCATGTTGGTCTGGTTACATCACACAAGCATAGCTGGTCCCAATTGTTTGCAGTAAGCAACATGGATGCAAAAATATAATTATCGCATCATCACGTCTAATGCTTGAACGTGGAAGAAGGCACTGATACCATTATTAGAGATAAATATGGCAAATATTACAAAAATGTGACCTATACTGACAGAATACTATAGAGTTAGAATGACCTCTATTCATCAAAATCCTATAGTGCCAAGTCTTGTTAGACACAGTGTGAGTATTACATTTACTGTAGTGAGTTCTCTCTCTCTCTCTCACTCACTCCCTCCTGCTGTTCTCACACTTCACTGGTACTCTGCTTCTTGATCAATGTACAGTATGCTCTCCGTACTTACACCACACACACTGTACACTATACTTTATATCGTTCCTCATCACCACTGATCGGCTTGTTAGCCATTTTGAAGACCGATCACGCCTCTGTTACATACCGTTGGCAAGTACTGGGCATTTACTGGCTCAAGAATGTATCTGTACATGTGTCAGTGTTGATCAAGTCTGGGCTTGAATGAGCTCACATTTGGTGCCGTCACAACGTTCTCTGGTAGATTACTGCAAGAGTTCACATCTCTCACTCCAAAAAAAAGTTTGCCCTGACAATTTTCTGAACTTCTGGCTTGTTCAACCTTAAACTGAGACCCCTAGTGTGGCAGGCATCCACCAGGTCCAGGTATAAACACTAGACTGAGTAATGTACTCTGAGGTGTTTAAAGACTTATATTAAGTTACTCCTTGCCCGCCTATGGTATAAGCTGTGCAATTGTAGGTATTACCAATCTCTCTGGGTATCAACTGACAGTTTCTAGCATATCTCAGGAACCAGACAGGATGACAGTACTCCAAAGGGGGGAGCACCTCTTTTGACTTACACCATACTCACTGTACACTATGCATTCAATACTTACACCATACACACTGTACTCTATGCACTCAGTACTTTCACCACACACACTGTACACCATGCACTCAGTACTTGCACCACACATACTGTACATTAAGCACTCAGTACTTGCACCACACAAACTGTACACTATGCACACAGTACTTGCACCACACATACTGTACACCATGCACTCAGTACTTGCACCACACACACTGTACACCATGCACTCAGTACTTGCACCACACATACTGTACACCATGCACTCAGTACTTGCACCACACATACTGTACACCATGCACTCAGTACTTGCACCACACACACTGTACACCATGCACTCAGTACTTGCACCACACACACTGTACACCATGCACTCAGTACTTGCACCACACACACTGTACACTACGCGCTCAGTACTTGCACCACACATACTGTACACCATGCACTCAGTACTTGCACCACACATACTGTACACTATGCACTCAGTACTTGCACCACACAAACTGTACATTATGCACTCAGTACTTGCACTGCACATACTGTACACTATGCACTCAGTACTTGCACCACACAAACTGTACACTATGCACTCAGTACTTGCACCACACAAACTGTACACTATGCACTCAGTACTTGCACCACACAAACTGTACACTATGCACTCAGTACTTGCACCACACAAACTGTACACTATGCACTCTTAACTCATTCACTTCACCTCACCCTATAGTTTCCCATCTGTTTATTTTTAATAAAACATAATTGGTCACTCTTTTAAAACAAATAATATTGTCTTTAATCAATCTTCTTTTAATTACCATAAATTTCACTCTATTTCCTTGGGTTTGTTTTTCAGGACACTCTTGTAGTAGAACAAAGGACGTGACATACCTGCGTTTGGTTGCTCCTCTACCTGCAAGGAGATTATTGAGGAGGGAAGGACTTCTGGCGCAAATGTAAGCATGGAAGCTGCTAACAGTAAATACTCCAAGACGGTTGAGAACTGTTTTGGTGGTGCGCGACACATGGGTCAGTAAGCCCTGAAGAAATGGATAGATATATGTTACGAATTCAAATGACACACTGATTGTATATGAACATTGTAAAATTTATGGAAAAAAAATATTAAACTGAGATTTGACCGGGTACAACATTCTGCCACTGAAAGCTTTAGTACTGTAAGGTAAAATATATGACTATCAAAGGAAAATTCATGTGGGGAGATCCCGCAGGATATAAAATATCTTTCAGTGTCAAGTTGAATGTTCTAAATTTATTATACAACCCCCACCACCCACCCACCCACCCCCCAAAAAAGAATGGAAATAAAGAGCCTGGAGATCAGTGGAGCATTAAAATTGTCAAACAGTAAAATGTGCAGAAAAAATGCCTAAACTCTAGACATAATTCAGCCTACTATTCCCTTCAAGTACATAGTTTGGATACTAAAGGCATTTATCCTTAAACATTTCCAGAAAATTAATTGACCAGTGTCTTCATTCCTATTATTACTATGAACTGCACTAAAAAAGGAAGCACTCTATACAATGATGGAACTCCTTCTTAATTAAACAACTAAGAGAAATTATGTTAGAGATCCATCAACAACTGGATGGACTTAGTACAGGAAGCAAGCGGTCTATCCACTAAGCCACTGGTCACCCAACTATGACTAATATGTGACAAAGATCAATTTGGTGAAATTTTATTACTTCCAAAAATGGAAAAAAAGGTACCAGCAAAGCAGAAGAAAATATCCCGGTATAAATGAAATATCTTGCTCGTCCATAAGGAAGCCAATTAACAGCAGACTATCAAATATAATCCGGGTGATCAGGAGTGTCACTCAAGTTGCATCTCACAAGTTGGGAAAATGGTAATTTACTTTACTGTATCTTCTTGGTTACTTGTCAGTTTGTTAGTTGCTTGGGTGGTTGGTCACGTCTCTGTTACGCACTGTCGGCAAGCTTATAGCAATAGTTCGAATGAAGAAACATATTTTATTACCTGGTCTATTAATTTTGTAGAAGTTTTTACAGTGCTGTATTCCCGTGCATGTTTCGATACTGTACCTTTGGATTGGGGAGCTCGCCAGTCTGTAGTGAAGCCATGTAACAGCGGAGACGGAACTGCTCACAGTGTAGTCGCTCCAGGTTTTCTTCCCACTGCATGATCTGACCCATGATCTGTTGCTTGCTCTCAGCATCTGACACCACTGACAGCTGCAGCTCTGCCATGTGCTTCAGCTTTGAATCCTGTAAGGCACAGCAATTAGTGGTGCTCTCATGAACACAGTCAAGAGTAAGATGGAAACAACAAGTACTGTACTGTACCCTTGTGTAGTTAGTGAGTGATTGACTCAAATATTCAAGGAACTTCAAAGAAAACAACAAAGAATACACAACCAGTATAAAATGTCAACTTGATTGATCTAATTTCCTATGACCAATAGAGATTAATCATGGTGTATGTGTGCAGGGATTAGTCGAAGTGGCTGTGATTGGGGGGGGGGGGTCAAATTACTCCTTTACTAGATTTTGCCTCACAGATGCAGCACAAGGTTAAGTGGTGGAGATTAATATAATATTTTTCTCTTCTATTTTTAATTTCTTTTTACTCTTATTTTTTCGCCCCTCGGCCCTGTGGGTCGATGACCTGTGACCGGGTGGAGTATTCCCCGTAAAAAAAAAAAAAAAAGATGCGTCGAGCACCACACAGTCCAGACCTCCATCTCAACAATGCTCATTTTTTTTAGTCTGTTTTCAGTGGTGTAGCTGGTCAGAAAATATCTGATCCAGTTGGAAATCTGGGCCCTGGTTGTAAAAAAAAAAAAATGGCGAAGTAGAGACATACTGTATGTCACGTGACTCAGTTTATAATTCTACTTCTCATTATAATACATTATATAATATATAACAGCTTGGCTAAACTTGTGACCTAGTGGCTTGAAAACTATAAGTCTCGGAGAAATAGCTGAATTTGTATGATTACAAAGGATTTCACCGACGTACCACTCTCCATAGCTGGCAACACTGTCACTGCTGTAGGCTGCAGCATCTTCTGGTACTAGGCTACAGCAACACAAGTAGCAAGTGGGGTAGGAATGTTTCGCGAGTATTCCAGTCCAGTGGGTAGCAAATATGTGCCTTTTGGTTTTCCTTATTTGCGGCTTCTTGTATTAAATACGGTAAGATAAACCAGAGAGAATCCATATAGTATCGTTAGTCTGCCGCCCTGTGTGAAACATTCAGATTCGTTCAATTGACCCTCATAAATTATTTAAAGTGGACATGCTTATTGGAAGTACTGGAACCGTTCTTGTTTTATTTTCTTAATTTAAGCTTTTTAAGGTAATATTTGAAATGAATAAAGTAAGTCAGCACATTTCACGTAGAAAAATTATGTGTTGGGACCAAGCGAAGGCGTTGAAACACTGTAATTGTTATGAATACGTTACAGTCACCAACAAAACTCCCGTCGCCTCTCCCCTTGAACCATGAACCCCCGACATTCAGACTCACTAATCCGAAGTATTTATGAACAGAATAATGCATCAGTTTACTGCTTCGGGTTCATGAGTCTGAATCTCGGGGGTTCGTGGTTCAGGGAGAGAGGCGTGGGTGACTGTACTGTATTCATGTAATCACTGACGATGAATTTCGTTGTTGTTATTATTATGTGTTTACACAGATTAAAGTTATATTATATTTTTAGTATTATAATGCATTATGTGAATCATTGTTCTGTCCAGTCGGAGAGCTTATAACCCCTTACACTCCCCTCTGTAAAAGACTATACTACGCCAGTTTGTTCCGCCCATCTCCACAGTCACATCCCTTAACAAAATAGTGCAGAAGTCTTCTAGGGGAAATATTTGCTCAGTCTAACTCACAGCACAACCACTAGAACACGATCAGTGCATGAAAACGATCAATGCAACTCACCGCGAACCATTTCAATACAACAATCAATATCGTCCTCTGACTTGAGAAAAAAAAGTGACAACAGAACCTGGGTGCCACTATTAACTCAGCAGATCTTCAGCTTTAAAGGCTGGGGGAAGCATCACATGTTCAGCTCACGCCTCCTAACACACACCCAGCACAAACACGGCCAGTTATTATTATTATTATTATTATTATTATTATTATTATTATTATTATTATTAATATTATTATTATTATTATTATTATTATTATTATTATTATTATTATTATTAATATTAATATTAATATTATTATTATTATTATTATTATTATTAATATTAATATTATTATTATTATTATTATTATTATTATTATTATTATTATTATTATTATTATTATTATAGAATTAAATAAGGGTGTAATGTGTTATGAGAATATATATCGATATACTATGGAGTAATACTAGCAATCATCCATTTGTAATTTAAAGGTTCACTGATATTCGGTGTTTGTAACGATTTATAGTGTACATGTACATTTCACTTATATTGAAAACTTTCTAAAAAAAAAATATAATATATATATATAATATATATATATATATATATATATATATATATATATATATATATATATATATATATATATATATATATATATATATATATATAATGTGGAGCGCCACCAGCACTCGGCAAGTACCAATTTACATTTAATATCGGCAGAAACAAGAATCCTGTTGATATACGATAATGTAAACTTCTTATATATTACATAGAAACATTAAATCATCATACTTATAAACAATATTGTATTTTAATTGGATATAATGGAATCTAAAGGAATGAACGCTTTTACGGTTATGTAGTTAATAGTTTGGATTGCTTGACATTTTAATTTTTACGTCTTACTTGAATAAACAGGTTTGTATATTTGTGGTTTTTCCCGTATCTTCACTTTTTGTGGAATGTTCAAGTGTTGCACTAATGGGTTTTGTGTATGTCAATGTTTATATCTGAATCTCCTAAGCATGTTCATATTTTGCATGCATACATTTTAATTATTTCATATTGTTCTTTGCATTTATTTTATTTTTTGTTTATTATCATTTAAGTCAAGTTTTGCTGCCTCAATTAATAATCAAATAAGTGACAAGTGGCCTCATTTACACACAATCGCAGGTTCTCAATTGTTTCTCTTACCATTGACAACACAACATACATGTATTGTTTCTCACTCTTGATCTTTTTTTTATTTTTTTTATTTATTTATGGTTTATCATTATTATTACTATTATTATTTTTACAATTTCACCTCCCAGGCCCCGATGTGGGTCAGTGACCTGTGCCCGGGTGGGCTAATCCCAGTAAAGGGAAAAGGATGGAATGGCAATATCTGTAACTCAATCTCTTATGATAGTAACACCGTAGTTGTTTCTTTTCATCCCTTCTTGCTTTAATAATCCAGTGATGCTGCGAACTCCTGTGAAGTGAAGGGCTTATAATAAGGCCCAGTAGCCAGACTCAAAAGTTCGGATGACAAATATGTGTAAGAGAAACTATAATAGTGCATTAAATTAGTTGACTTTAACCTAAATCATAAAATTAATGACAAAAAGAGTATAAAAATATAGTAAGACCTAAACTAGATACATTTACTTAGCATCAATTAGGAATCGAAATAATTATACAAAATCTTCAATGAATTCTGAACGTTTATGTTATGTTCTAACTCATGCCATGTCTAGAGTCTAAGTTTCAATATAATAATAATAATAATAATAATAATAATAATAATAATAATAATAAAAATAATAATAATAATAATAATAATAATAATAATAATAATAATAATAATAATAATAATAATAATAATAATAATAATAATAATAATAATATTTTTGGCGGAAAGTTTTGCGTTCTAGTATAAGTCAAGCAGTTAAAAGCATTCTTATAGCTTTAACTGAGAGGATTATTCACCTTAAGTACCTTTGAAACGTTAAGTGAGTTTGTATTGTGGCCACAGGACTGCCTACACTCACGCACTAGGCTCGAGGTACGTGCTTTTAGACCACCATTCACATATCAGAGACAAGAAAATACAGAATTTCTATAACCTTGGGTCTAATTCTTGAGATAATTTTATATTGGGCAATATTTATAGCACGGTGTCTGATTTGCTGTTAGACTATATCCGGCTCATTTTCAACCAATCAAATGGATTATTTCTTTTCCTATGACAATGATAAATAATTTTTAACCAATTCAGGGTGTCTCTCTCATCACAATCCGCATGAAGTACCGTACTGTACAATAATGATTCTACAGCAGTTATTAATAAACTAAATAAAGGTTGTGTATTTTTCTTTAGTCTGTTCCTTCCTAAACGATAATTATTGATCTTACTGAATACTAAAAGACACTCGAGTTTTAATCATCCATCTTCCGAAATATGTGACATCGAAAATTTTCAAAGATGCCATAATGTAAACAAATCTTTTCCATTAACACAGAAATCTGTTCCAATTACCCATCCTACACACTATAGTTCCGTATTGGCGGTTACTTCCTTTGTGGAAAATAGACAAACTATCACACACCTGTATGACTGGAAGGTATAATGGAACACTTCTGTACTGTATACGGCAGAAAATACTTGATGACAGCGGTGCCAGAGGAGGGACAGTAGGCGAGAATTACTTTATATTCTCATGGTTCATTGGTCAGCTAGTTCAGTTAAGTTTGGTTAGGACAGGTTGTTAGGTTAACTGAAGATGGGTTTGGGTCTAGTTAGATCACTTCAAGTTGATTTATGCCTAGTTAGGTTTAGTTAGATCAGGTCATGTTAGGTTCAGTGAGATTTGGGTAAGTTGTCAGACTGTCAGGTTAATTTATGTTGTTCGATTTGGTGAAATAAAGCAAAAATTCGTTAAATTTTAGTTGAGTAGTTTATGTTAGGTTCGACTGCCAGTGAACCGCCGAAGTACCAGGGCCGGACTCAGGAGTGGGCAAAGTGGGCAGCTGCCCAGGGGCCTCCACAATCTGGGGGCCTCCACATATTACAATATTTTATTTATTTGTTTATTCATTTGGGTTATTTTTATTTTCATTCATTAAAATTCATGTTTATCTATTCCATCACGTAAAACTATGTTCAACAAGAAGCGTGATAGAAATTAGGCTAGCTACTCCTTGAAATTCATGAATACCTGGTTTTCCTATGAACCGTATATTTTTAATATTTTTAATATAACCGCATATGGCTTCAAAATTCTCCAAAGAAATGTTCAAATATCAAAATTTTCCCGGGGGGCTTATAGCGCTCCCCAGAACTCACAGATGTTTAGGCTCGCTTCACTCGCCACCCCACCCTCTTGGGTAGTTATAATGAGGGGGGGCCTCCACAAAGAGGCTGCTCATGGGCCTCCACAGGTCTAAATCCGGCACTGCGAAGTTCATGACTGTAACCCGCCGTAGTGGAAGCGTCACGAGGCAGCTTTTCATGCAAACAACACAACGAGTAAAAAGTTGGCACTATTTTACCACGTTTATCAGGAGCTGTGAGGTTGTTGTGCACCCATGCTATACTGTATACGTACATATCCTCAAACTTTGTTCATATTTTGCGCTCTATCAGTGTAGATAACCTAGTAACTGGAGCTTTGATTTTGATTTTAGTCTGTCTACGAGTGGAGTCCTAATCTTAGCCTAATCTTGACGTTTATATAATAAACTTTGTCATTGTCTGCTCTAAATGTAAAGTTAACATATCAAGCGTGAAAAGTTGTTAGATACGTTTCCGTAATAATAAAAATAAATCTTAAATCCGCAGAAAACAATAAACTCGACAAAGATTCACGTAATTTCAGATTTTATTCTTTCGTAATAAATCGTAGGCTTCTGCAGTGATCCGATATATACACACTTGATAAACATGAAAGTTGGAAACTACATTATAAGATCATCATAAATCTGTCAGGTGAACTAGCGACACGGGAACAAATTGATGATCCACCGAGGTATTTCACCCAGCAGTGTGAAAGATGATTCACAAGTATTTTTGACCTGGGTGGTTGGACGCGGCGCCATTGTGGTGACAAGTGACTGCCTGACTTATAAACATTATTTAATCTGTCATCTAATAATAATACTTCTAATAATAAATACGAGGATATATCATTATTATTTGGAAATTATATCTTTTTCAATTTTATTTATTTCTACACTATTACCATATTAGAAAACTAGACGTGGATTCGATGATATATTCCGTTAGATAAATTTTTCCAGAAGACCTTTGAGGGATATTTAAGAGAGAGAGAGAGAGAGAGAGAGAGAGAGAGAGAGAGAGAGAGAGGTTAGCAGCACGGATTCAAGAAAAGATCGTATTTACATTTTCCTTATCAAATAGACTAAAAGACTGTATTTAACTGTATGATTTATAGAGCTGTAATATAAGATCCAAAAATGGCATCAAAACTGTACTCAGGCTTTACCTACATAATTATATGATGAATTCAGGTACAGTTACATGTTTAAGTTCAGGGCTTCCAAGTTAACATAACAATGGTTGTTAGGTCTATAAGCATACCATTAGTCTTTACACACACACACATACAGAGTTTCAGGCCAGCTCTGAGCCCCTGACGTGACCTCTTTAACCATCATGACTGTCTTGTATGTCAGAGCGAGCGTTTGATTGTTTGATAAGGCCAGAACAGCGGCGAGTCACGTTGCGTCAGACTAATATGGTAGTCTGATGAGGTGCCTCGCTACGTGACAACACGATATAGATAATTTACATACGTCTATATACACCATACAAACACTATATATATATATATATATATATATATATATATATATATATATATATATATATATATATATATATATATATATATATATAGATGTGGCTTAAAATATCAGGGTTTGACCTACACCGAATGTCAAGAGTATGAGAAGGAATCTTAGTGTTGAGACCGCTGGCAGGTCATGGCCATATATAAGACTGGTTGAAGGTTTTATATCATTAGCTTAACGATTGAATTATATCAATTCAGATAAAAAAATTGTCAATAATGAAGGCCAGTAATCTCTTTCATGTGTAAACACCAATTAACGTCAAATTAGAATGATATATCGTGAAAGATCGAACTGGCGGTCATGTTTCCCAGTTTAATAATAAAAAAAAAAACGTATCTCATCACGCAATACTGATCCTTATATCAGAGGCATGTTAAAATTACAAACAAAAATAGCCTGCTAATATTTATGTATCATGAAGACAATGAGAACTACCACAGGCCAAAAGCCATGATTATAAAAAGCCAATCGTAAAAAGGCAACAACCATCCCAGAACCTGACCATTTTATTTTTAATAATAATAATAATAATAAAATGTTGGCAATCTGTGAGGAGAGGTTATTGCAGAACATTAATGAAAATACAACAGCAGACCAAAAAAAAATGGATTTTTCGTTTAAAAGTGAACGGACTTGCTATTGGGTGGGAAAAGGGAACAATTCAACATAAGTGAACGAGCAATTATAGTGCAGTTAGATCACATAATCCTGTATAAAAACTAACATACGGAATAGTTACTGAATATTTTACTTTGGATGGATTATCTTATTTTCACGCTTGCAAACGCTTTTCCCGTTATAATGAAGGATGGCTGGAATCAAGTGTAAATACATTTTCCATTTGCTTCACTCACTCCACCCGTTGTGACATACACGTTCTGCCATGGTCACCTTCCACAACCAGGACCCATCCAGGTAATGTTAATTCCCGCCGCTTCATACATCAGCAACTAGTCCAGTCCATCCCCAGATACAAAAACTGATAAGAGAAACGAGTCCATAAAGCCCTGGGTTATTATACAACTTTGCATTGTAAGTCATCGGTGCATTTCCAAACGGTGATATCATTTGTAGTCATATCATACCGTGGAGTTAAACGAATATCTGTATCGCGCAGAAAGGAGCAAAAAGACATTTTGGAGGGATTTATAATTCCTAACATTAAGATAGGAAATAAAGAAAGAGAAACGGAGTGAGATATAAAGAAAGAAATTTCGTATCCCAAAACAACACTACTGACCGACTCGATGGCGCGGTCGATTCTGAAGATCTCTTCCTGGAGGAGGTGGAGCGTGCCTGTCTTGCCTCGGTGGCGCGCGAAGGCAGCTGCACATGCGCTGTGGATGCTGTTTACCCAGTTCTCTAGCTCCACCTGGCATGGGGCCTGTAGGGTGAAAATGAGGGATATATAGTTACAGTGATACACTCCTACTGCATAAAGAATATATAAAATGCTTTACTCAAGTATGGCACACACGATTATAACCATTCATATAGGAAGTCACCCTCACCCATGGTGCACACAGACGCGCTGCAACACGATAAACACGTACACACGTAAGCACGTACACGCGTAAACACGTACACATGTAAACATCCGCACGCACGTACACACACTCACATTAGGAAAACAGACAAAATGCCAGAATGGAGTCCACGGTAAAACCGGTAATGATAACATCAAAGAAATCCCGGTAAGGTTGACTGGCAGACTCCCTGCTACTAATGATCACAAGCTCTCATTACGCGCCACCCATATACTACACACACACACACACACACATATGTACTGTATATATATATATATATATATATATATATATATATATATATATATATATATATATATACATATATATATATAATTGTGTTGGTACATATTCACACGTGGCAGCATACGTGTACAAATTGATCAATCTTTACAGGGTGGAGAGTTTGAGTGGGCAGTCAGCCGCCAGTAGCTTCTCTAATTATTGTTATCGTAAAAAAAAATAATGTGGGCTACACATATTTTCACTGATGCCTACAATGATATGCATAAAACTAGTTGTTTGTATTATGAAATATTTATGTGCAACTGTTATTGACCGTCCTCGTCTTTCCATTCAAAATCCTGAAAAAACCCCACAGTGAAACAAAAGGTCGTCGCGCAGCAAATAATGTCGGGCACTCAACCTCATCCCCTTTACTGCCGCCGCCAAAATCACTCTCCGGGGACCATCCTCTTGCGTCATTAATTTAACAAAAGCACATTTGAGCTCTACTGTGATTCCCTGTTGCGTCGCCGGGAGCCTCCACGATACAAAAAAAAGAAAAGATTAAGAACACACAATCGGATAAAATTTTTGAGTTGGTGTTTTTCAATGTATAAACGCTTCTTCCAAGAAAGAATTACCTCCGAGAGCTCGGTTTCCCTTCTCCCTTACGTGTGACTGAGATACTCGTAACTTGTGAGTTATTATGATTATAAAGCGTAACATGGTGTCATACTTTTTTTGCCAAAATACTAATATAATCTTATTTGAAACATAATGAAAAACGCTATAATTACAGTTACAAACACAGAAAAGAAGGGCGTCACCGAATTCTGAAAAGCTCCTACATTAGATTTTTTCCTTTATTGGATAAGTGAGACAGCAATTACCTGAATAACCATAAACTGCGGCACAAGATAGATGACACAAATGAAATCGAAATTGCTACTGAAATGTACCTTAACTAGATTCGCAGAACCAGTTAGGGGAAAAAATACCAAACGGATTCTTTGAAAGAACTCTTTTATGTAACTGTAATTTAGTCCGACATCAAGCGAGCAAATATAGTTCAGGTAGAGTCTAATTTTGAATGCTATTTGTGGCCGTAATTTTTCGTGCTATAGCTTAAGTTATCCGCTCACGTGCACTCTCATAATCACATCAGCTGCGGGGAATCTTTGTAGATCATGACTCAGGCTTAGAATAAAACGTATCGTGGAAGAGTAAGTGAATAATTACTTCATGATCGTTGATAATCCCCACAAGCCTAAAGTAGTAATACACTAGGCTACTGAAGTCAGGAAAATATATTCTTTAGACTACTATACAAAGTCTCTTTCCACGCGTAAGACTTCCAAATGCTAGAACGAATCTTTAATCCACTTATGTATCCGTACGTATCATTGTAGTACAGTATATAATTTGAGTCGGTTACCGTTTCGACAAGAGTGTAATGCATCTTTTGTCCCTGACTATACTGTACATCTACCGTTGAGTCATTGGTTGAGAAGTCAGGTTTTCATTAAGTTTGGTTGTTTTGGGTTAGGTTAGGGTAAGGTAGGTTGTTTTGGGTTAGGTTAGGGTAAGGTAGGTTGTTTTGGGTTAGGTTAGGGTAAGGTAGGTTGTTTTGGGTTAGGTTAGGGTAAGGTAGGTTATACTGGGTTAGGTTAAGGCGGATTAGATTTAATTAAAATAGGATAAATTTGGTTTTGGTTAGACTGGGGCTAGGTTGGGTTCACTATGGTTCAAGTTAGGCTATGCTACGATGTGTTGGGTTGGGTTGGGTTGGGTTGGGTTGGGTTGGGTTGGGTTGGGTTGGGTTGGGTTGGGTTAGGATAAGTTGGTTTAGGATAGGTTGTGATATATTTGGTTTGGTTGTTGTTGTTATAATGTTATTACTGCGCTTCAACAACGACGGTCTTACAGCGCGTATCATATTGGTGAGTAATATACATTAGTCCAACAACAATAACGAATTATGACATAAAACTTTTTTAGGTTGGGTTAGGTTAAGATACGTCTCGTTAGGTCGGGTTAGGTTAAGATACGTCTCGTTAGGTCGGGTTAGGTTAAGATACGTCTCGTTAGGTCGGGTTAGGTTAGTTTAGGTTATTACCCATCATCAGGACAACAGCAAATGTTGTATAAGAGAAGAAAACATTGTCTAAAATACAACTTAATTAAGAAAATATTGTTAGTAATAGTGTACGACAGCGTGGTGGCAGAGCAGACTCATTACCCTGTCTCAACAATGGCACTGACGTGTTAAGTATCGACCAGCAGGGGACACGGGGGAGGGGGTTAGTGGCGACCAGCAGGGCATGGAGGGGGGTGGCGACCAGCAGGGGACACGGGGAGGGGGTAGGGCGACCAGCAGGGGACACGGGGAGGGGGTTAGTGGCGACCAGCAGGGGACACGGGGAGGGGGTTAGTGGCGACCAGCAGGGGACACGGGGAGGGTTAGTGGCGGCAGGGGACACGGGGAGGTTAGTGGCGACCAGCAGGGACACGGGGGGGGGTTAGTGGCACAGGAACACAGGGAGGTGTGGCCCAGCAGGGACACGGGAGGGTTAGTGGCAACCAGCAGGGACACAGGAGGAGTGACCAGCAGGGACACAGGGAGGGGAGTAGCAGGGGGGGTGGTGGCGACCAGCAGGGGACACAGGGGAGGGGTTAGTGGCGACCAGCAGGGGACACGGGGGAGGGTTAGTGGCGACCAGCAGTAAACAGGGGAGGGTTAGTGGCGACCAGCAGGGAACACGGGGAGGGTTAGTGGCAGACCAGGGACACAGGGGGGGGGGTTAGTGGCGACCAGCAGGGACACAGGGGGAGGGTTAGTGGCGACCAGCAGAACACGGGGGAGGGTTAGTGGCACCAGCAGGGGACAGGGGAGGGGTTAGTGGCGACCAGCAGGGGACGGGGAGGGGTTAGTGGCGACCAGCAGGAACACGGGGAGGGGTTGTGGGACCAGGCAGGGGAGGGTTGGGCAGGAGGGGGGGGAGGGTGGCGACCAGCAGGGACACAGGGGAGGTTAGTGGCGACCAGCAGGAACACGGGGAGGGTTGGTGGCGACCAGCAGGAACACGGGGGAGGGGGTTAGTGGCGACCAGCAGGGAACACGGGGGAGGGGGTTAGTGGCGACCAGCAGGGAACACGGGGGAGGGTAGTGGCGACCAGCAGGGGACACGGGGAGAGGGGTTAGTGGCGACCAGCAGGGAACACAGGGGGGGGTTAGTGGCGACCAGCAGGAACACGGGACGGGGTTAGTGGCGACCAGCAGGGGACAAGGAGGGTTAGTGCGACCAGCAGGGGACACGGGGGAGGGGGTTAGTGGCGACCAGCAGGACACAGGGGGAGGGGTTAGTGGCGACCAGCAGAACACGGGGAGGGTTGGTGGCGACCAGCAGGAACACAGGGGAGGGGGTTAGTGGCGACAGCAGGGAACAGGGGGGTTAATTGGCGACCAGCAGGAACCCGGGGAGGTTAGTGACCAGCGGGACACAGGGGGACACAGGGAGGTTAGTGTGACCAGCAGGACAGGGGGAGGTTAGTGGCCGGGGAGACACAGGGGAGGGTTAGTGGCGACCAGCAGGGAACACGGGGGGGAGGGTTAGTGGGGCCAGCAGGGGACCAGGGGAGGGGTTAGTGGCGACCAGCAGGAACAGGGGGAGGGGTTAGTGGCAGCAGGGGACACGGGGGAGGGGGTTAGTGGCGACCAGCAGGGGACACGGGGGAGGGTTAGTGGCGACCAGCAGGGGACACGGGGGAGGGGTTAGTGGCGACCAGCAGGGGACACGGGGGGGAGGGGGTTAGTGGCGACCAGCAGGGACACGGGGGGAGGGTTAGTGGCGACCAGCAGGGAACACAGGGAGGGTTAGTGGCGACCAGCAGGGAACACAGGGGAGGGTTAGTGGCGACCAGCAGGGAACACAGGGGGGAGGGGGTTAGTGGCGACCAGCTAGAACACGGGAGGGTTAGTGGCGACCAGCAGGGGACACAGGGGGAGGGTTAGTGGCGACCAGCAGGGACACAGGGGAGGGTTAGTGGCGACCAGCAGGAACACGGGGGAGGGTTAGTGGCGACCAGCAGGGAACACGGGAGGGGGTTAGTGGCGACCAGCGGAGGACACGGGGGAGGGGGTTAGTGGCGACCAGCAGGAACCAGGGGGGAGGGTTAGTGGCGACCAGCAGGGGACACGGGGAGGGGGTTAGTGGCGACCAGCAGGGGACACGGGGAGGGGGGGAGTGGCGACCAGCAGAGGACACGGGGAGGGGTTAGTGGCGACCAGCAGGGGCACAGGGAGGGTTAGTGGCGACCAGCAGGACACAGGGAGGGTTAGTGGCGACCAGCAGGGAACACGGGGGAGGGTGAGTGGCGACCAGCAGGAACACAGGAGGTTAGTGGTGACCAGCAGGGAACACGGGGAGGGTTAGTGGCGACCAGCAGGGACCGCGGGGAGGGTTAGTGGCGACCAGCAGGGACACGGAGGGGGGTTAGTGGCGACCAGCAGGGAAACACAGGGAGGGGGTTAGTGGCGACCAGCAGGGACACGGGGAGGGGTTGCGACCAGCAGGGACACGGGGAGGTTAGTGGCACCAGCAGACACAGGAGGGGGTTAGTGGCACCGCAG